GCAAATTCAGTACATTCAGCTCATGCATCAATGTTTTGGGCCACACATTCATCCCTATTAAAAAGAGGCTGGGGAGGTTATCCTGGTCCCTATACCATCATATAAATGATGCTGTATAATATTTAGCCCAAATAGCAGTTTCCACTTAGGAAGAAACCTGGGTGAGATTCACAGGGCTGAAAGAGGCCAGTGGGTAACGCGTGGGCAGCGCTGCGTAATGGAAGCTCACGCAGCCCGCATCCACACCGCGTTTGGCTCTAGCTGAAATGAAGCCACGGTATCACTTTCATAAGCCTCTGGTTTGCCCTGATGAAAACAGTGATTCTTTCCCCAGATACCCCTGCTAGCAACTTCATACCTAAATGAGTAAGGAGTTTGTAGCGCCAGCTCTCTCGTTACTGAATGAAAAACAGGTTTTGCTGGAAGAGAGCTTTGAATAAAACAGTAAAACAAAGAAGGGAAAAAATAACCAATAGTCACAGCTATAACCCCAAACTAGGTAAAACCCATCCAGTGTCACAAGCACTACCTACTCAAAAGAATCATGAGGTAAAGTATGTAGGGTCTAGCATTTGCCAACAGGGCAAATATAACCTCCTACAGGTTATAAAGATACTAAAATACCCTCTAAAGAGATCAAGGATAAGGACAAGAATGATGGAGCCAGAACTCCATTGGCAATCATTACATTTTCCCTCCATGGCTCTCTACCTTGTTATCCTGCCCTAGCCAGAATTGAAAGATGATAGAAAGGTGTTCCCTACTTGCATAAACTGGCAAACCTAATAAAAGGCAAAGTGAGAAAAAGAAATCTCAGCAACCATATGGCAATATCACAAAGGTTTAGGGACATGTGCATGTGCATTTTCATGTGTTTGTGCCTCTTTGCACAACACAAAGTCCTGTATGTGAGGGGAATTTCTGTAATTTTTAATGACAATTGGTATCAGGAGTCAATAGGAGGGCAAAAGTGCCCTTTGTTGTGGAGTACAAGGAAAGGATGCGAACAGACAACATACAAATGTTCAGTCTTGTCCAAGGCAGTAAAAGAGACTAACAGAATGCAAAATAAACATGGCAAGTCCTTCAGACAAGTCAGGCCGTATTACTGAGGAACCTGTCAACTATCTTTGTGCTATACTTTCCATACTTTCATGTCCTTCTTACCACTCACCTACAGCTATCCCTGTCTGCCTCTTCCCTGCTCAGACACAGGCACAATCAAGCATTAGCAAAATTTCAAGAATGAAACAGCTGGAAGTTGGAGACATTGAAAACCATACCCACAATTACATGCCACTGAAATTAGCAGGAATTTTAATGCCTAACCTATCTTTTTGTGTGTCTGCCAAACCCAATATCTACAGCTTCATCTGCAAACAGAAGTCTAGCTTTGGCAGGAGTGCTTTGCTTTTGCTTGTTCTTGTCCCTTTGCCTTCAAGATCTTTATCTTCAGACCAAGTCCCTACCATTTCTTGGTCATTTCCCCCCACTCCCTGAAAAGCCACAAAAACACCCCAAAAAAACCCACAATCAGTGAAAGACACAAATTTCTCAAATCTAAAAGTAACTCACTTTTTTAAAGTTAGATACAGAAGTGTCACAGAATGCTATTTAGCCCATAGTTGGGAAATCCATTACTTACCAGCACTAAGGAAGCCGAAAACACCAACCCGGTAATTTGCTGTCACGACAATAACATTACTGATGGCAGCTAGGTATGATCCATCTATGGTTGTCTTTCCTGCCTCAGTGCTGTAACTCCCTCCATTGTGGAAAAACAGCAACACTGACATGGTTTTGACCTGCAGTGAAAACAACCAAGTTACATTCCTGTAGCCAAGCACTTCTGTAGGTCACTGATGACATTAGAAGCATCTTTCCCATTAAACTTATCTAAGCCATTCATAGCCCTTTAACAGTGACCATAATGGGAGGCTTTCTGGCCATTTGTCTGAAATTCTAGGGCTAAATTGTCCACAATAACCTATACACCATTAAAGAGCACACTATGTCCACTATGAAGAAGATTTAATGGCACCACTGTGTTCCACCAGCCAACAAATCTACCAGGTTAGTTGAAGGCAGATCCATACTACTGACTTGGCCACTGAGCAAGTGGTGGACTCTTTGCTGTAATACGTCTGCTTCACACAAACACACAGGAAAAGTTCAAACATATGAGAAACAGAAGGAAAAGGCCTGTTAAGTTGCTTCATCTTGCACAGAAGTAACTCAATAGCTGTGCAGGGCTGTTTTCTTCTCTCCAGTCTCCAGCATTTAAATGCTGTCTAGTCTCAATAATCTCACTTAATTGCTCTTTATTGGTCCTTCAATCCCTGTGGAAGTTTTCCTCTACTAGATATATATATAGAGGTCCTCCAAAGAGGACTTTGTGCATCAAGAGACTCACTTTTCATTAAGCTCAAAGGGGGTCTGACAAAAAAGAGGCCAGCAGGACTCCTGGGTCGTAAAGGAGCTACGATGGGCTGCTGCCCATGTCAGCTCTCCTTGCAGAGACACTAGATTTTGTGCAGGAATGTAGGCTTTTTCCCAAAGCAGCACCGCATCTGTGGGGAACCTCTGTGGACACAAAGCAGAGCTGCAGCCAGGCTGCTGCTGCATGAGCAGCACAAAAGCAGAACCACCCCAGGAGATCTCAGCATTTACCAGCAGGTGATATAGCTCTGTCGAGATGACACTCAGAAGAAAAAGCAGTGAAACGTACAGAGGGGGTTTAGGGTTTTGTTTCCTTTTTTTTTTTCCCCCTGCTGTATGAAGCAGAATAACATGCTGCATTGCTAGAAAGGTTTTTTCAAAGTGTAACCTCAATTTCCAGTCAGCGCTTTCATCCCCTCTTGTCCACTTTGGGACTACCCTAAGGGAGGCTCCTCTCTACTCTGCTCAGCAGCAGGTCTCACCAACCAACCTGTCCTGCTTTCTGCTTTGGCAGCTGCCAGTGTTTTTCAGACAAGGGCTGATGGCCCCAGCAGCAGCATCAAAGTACATCTGAGGTTTGTTTTTCTCTGCAGCTAGAGGGCCTTGGGCTCTGCTGCTGTTATTTTCTGGATGGAGCTTAGTTAAACACAGCAGTTCCATCTGCTCTGGCAAAGGATGTCTCCAGCAAAAACATGACAGGCTCTATGGGAGAAGCAGCAGAGAACTGATTCTTGTAGTCTCCTGCAAAATGACATGAAAGGAGGCAAACTCCCCTCAACAGCCTTGAACTTGTCATGATGCATTCCTCACTTATCTATCTAGAGAATCACTTGCTGTAAACACAACAACGTTAACAAGAAAACCCAAGAAACTGCAAGCACTGAAACATGCTGCTCACTGTCAGGAACTTCTGCTTCTGAATAGAAATTGCCTAATTCATAGCGCTTTGTCCCTGGTTCCCATTTCTGCATCACATGCAGCACAGAGAGAGAGATGAGGATAAAGAAAAAAATGAAAAGAAAAATCTGTTTTCACATGTAAATTTGTTCTAAAATACAACTACATCAGCCAAAGCAGTATTAAATGTGATGTTGAGCTTGCTCTCTCCCCTGAGCCTCAGCATGGTTAAACCTGAGGTTCAAACTAGGCACTTCCCATGCCTCATAGCCTGCATAGAACCATGACCTCCAGCTGCCCTGTAAGTTATTTATTACACTATGCTGAGTGACTTTATCAAATGCTCTGGTGATGAAAAGTTTAAGGAAGGCAACGATGGGAGAAACAAGTTACAAATGCCAAAACAAAGCCTTCCTGCAAGAGATATGGAGTAACTCGGGGAAAGATTTAGCATTGAGGCTGTTCCTAGTGCCAAGTGTCTGGAGGTAGCATTCCCATTTCTAGTCTGCATTGAGCAATGACAGGTCTTTCTCCTATATAAAGGTAGTGATGAAAAAGGTTATGATGAAAAAGAATGGATTTTGGCATTTTAAATGAAGGCTGTTTAACATAATTGCCTTCCTATTTCTTGTTAGCCATTTTAACAGCACAGCACAATTATTTTCATGCTGTAATTGAACTATGCTTCATAATATGAGATATGTCACATCACCTATCTATCCATCTATTTGGTAGCCAACTAATTTTTTTTTCTATACATTAGCTGCCAAATATTTTATTTTGAATATAGAGCATTTTCCTCAAGCCTTGTTCTCAACTAAATTCAACCAACCACCGCAATTAAATTTGCCAGGTGGAAGAAACTAAAGCCTGCTGGAGCCAATTCCTTCACCCTTCACTGAGATGCAGCACCACCAACATCAATGCCAGGCTTCAGTGGGGCCAGCACATTCCTTGAAGACAGGCTCTGGCAGTCACATGGGTACCATCCAGTGCAGGGTTTTGATCGATACTTAGCAGCAAAATGCAGATTGTCACACTTCAAAGTGTAAAATCTGTGCAAAGACTTCCAGATGGAACATGGTCAGATGGTTCCCTGGCTTAGCTAGTGGGGAGACGTCTTCCAGGGAGCCCAGCAGCTCTACCATGGTCTCATGTCTGCAGGGGCTGAGGTCGTGTGTACAAAACCTCAAGGGAGAGAGAAGTTCAACATCTACCAGGAAGCTGTGAGTCAGCTGGAAGTCTGGAAGATTTTGTAATATTCAGAATAATCTTCTCCATTCTTCCGTAAAATGCTTAATGACCTACTTGGCAGGGATAGATTTAAAGTCTACTGAGTCAGACAACCTCAACTGCTTTTACTACTGTACAGTACTGCTCTGTAAAGAATTGAGTGCAACAGGGATGACGGGGTAAGGATGGGAGTAACACATGCAGGGGATGGGAGAAGAGGAAAGGGAGTACACTTTCTATTTTTATTTAGTGGAGAGCTTCAACTCTTCATCTTATGTTTGAAGCCGTCATAAATCATGCTGAAGCACTGCTTTGCTCTGCTAGTGTGACAGGTGGTGACAGATATAGGTGGAAAAAAGTCACTCAGAAGTGCCAGTTTTATTTGGAGGGTTATGTGCTGCACGTAGCTATGGAAGAAAAATGAGGTGATGTCATTCACCTTCTTCACTGTTTGACATTTAAAGAGTCCCCTGGTGACAGGCAGCACTCTCAGCACCATGCTCTTGTCCAGGCTTAAAATGCTCCTGAAGGACCTCTGCCTTTGCTGCTCTCCAGGAGATTTTATATTCAGTATTTACTAATTTAACTTCCCGTGGGCTGAAAATACGTAACTATAGATCTTTGTATGTGAGTAAAAAATAGAGCTCACCACAAAAAGAAACAGGAAAATGCCATGCCTTCTGCTCCCAGCTACTTCTGCAAAAACAGAAGTTTTGGTTCTCTCTTGGGCTAGACTAATGCATGTGAAACTGACTGACTTGATCAGACCTATTTCTATCTTACACCCCTACAAAAGACAGGAGGGATTCAGTTCTCAGTACTGCTAAGCAGAAAAGACAAGCCTATTTAGCCTATCAGATGATAGAAGATACAAAGCTTTCAAAAAAGTTATCTTGAAAGCAGCTCTTAAGCGGAGATGGCAAACTGCCTGGGACAGTGACCTGATGTTTTCAATAAGCAATGACTGCACTCAAGACAAAATGACAGTCTGGTGCTGTAGGCAGAAAACAAATTGCTGCTCTTTCTGCTGATTAAAAGGACGTGCAAGGGACTCTGTGTGCTGCTGTCAGATAGCTAGACCAGATTTTTACAGCACACCAGACTCATAGATTTCTATTATAACCACCACCACCTTCTGAAAATTACCTGTACTATGGAAAAAAACCCTCTAATCCTGTGCTCTGGGCCCACTCTTCATTGGGATTCACATGCTGTTCAGCATCTTTATCCCCAGCCCCGCAGCAGTTTGGCCAGTTGTCTAAGCTTGGCTATAACTCGAAGCTTTACTTTATATCTGTTTAGAATGAGAAATTCAGGAGCTTCCAAATGACAATTTCTCAGATTGTACCACTAGCTCGGTCATCTTTAAAACATCTATTTTTATGCCCCGCCAGCTAAGCACAAATCTAGTATTGCTTGATAATCTCATTCCTCAACAGTTCCCACAGATGTCAACAAGAGAATAATGAAGATGAGGGTGAAAAATCTCTGCTGCTGCGCCTCATCTGGTGGTAAGTGTTGATGTGACACATTGCATTGCATTATTGTCTCCTAAACAGATGGACTCAATTCAGGGACGTTGCCATTTCTGTCTTTAATTTCTCCTCTCTTGCTGCTACCTTCTTTTTGTGTGGTTTGGTTTGTTGTCTTTTTTTTTTTCTCCCTTCTTCTCTCTCTTATTTATAGGTTTCTAATTTTCTACCCTGCTAGTTATCCAAACACAGCTCACTGAAAGCATATATTGGAATACTCTTGCATCCGTACAGACAACAAAGCATCTAATTTAACCTTGCTGGGCTTTGTGAACACCACATGAAAACCAACCATTTGTGCCAATTAAAAGGACTTTGAAAAGAGACAGTTCTCAGCTACAAAAAAAAAATAAAAAAAAATCAACTCGTCTCCTACTTACAGTGGTAGCAGGAACAAAGACGTTCAGATATAGGCAGTCTTCACTGACAGAGTATGATGGAGCGTCTCCATCTCCTGGCTGCCAACAAGCTGCCCTAGAGACAGGGATTGAGACAATTAAAATATAAAGTCTTGTACTCTTTTCCCACTGCCTCTGTTTCTTCATATTTTGATGTAGTAAGTTTACAAAATCTTTAAATCTGTAGATTGCAATCACATTTAAAAATATGCTGACCTCTACCTTAGTTACAAACATGTGGGTTTGTACATAAAAATGCAAAAATCACATTGTATTTCCATGTCTAGAATCCTTCTCATGGAAAATCAGTTTCATTTAAAAAATATTAGAACTTGAAATTAAGCCTTCAGAAAATTAATGCTTTACATAAGCTGCACAAAATTAGCACCAGATGCAAGGGGAGCAGGACTGGGTGTCTTGGGCATAGGTCTCCCCCATTACTGCCTGCATACCTACGTAATCCACTCTTTTGAAATGCCAGTGATTTATTGTAATTTCTAATAGTCTGTGAGATACATTTATTTATATTTATTTTAGTTTCTAATGATCCATGGGAAAATATAGTCAGTTAAAAATTTTAACACATTTTTAAAATCTGTTTGCTCTAAGCGTCATAGCAGACCATTAACAGCGCCAAGCAACGTTAAAGTAACTTTTCAGTAGGAATTCAGCAGCCAGCCACAGAAAACCATTTTCTGGCCCTCATGTCTATGAGATTCATATGCCCAAGCACTTTCCACAACAAGAATCAAGTCCATGACTTTTGCAGTTCAGATAAAAGCTATTTTGAAGCCAGTTCCCCCTACTTCACAGACATATTATAACACATAATGATTTATGGAAAAGCATCGTAATTTATTAGAGAAGAAGCCAAAAGAGGCTAGGGAAAATACAGTAATATCTCAGACAACTGTTTCTAAATTATAATTCTTAATGCCTTTGAAAAATTTTACACTGACGTTGTGAAGAATTTAAGAGAAAACTACAAGGACTAGATTTAACGCAATTCTACAAAATCTTTGCACAAGAGAGGTTCCTAGGACAGTGATATCACTCAACAGCTTTCACACTGATGTAATGAAGAACATCATCTCCAACCAAAACTGCTGAAGCCATTTTAGACATAAAAAATGTAAATTCCTGGGTGGGAACACAGCCAGGACAACAGGTCTAATGCCATTAATCATACAGCTTTCCACAGGGCAGCAGGAACCATCACCTGTGCTCATGG